GCTCCCCCAGAAGCTTGTAGGGGGCTCGCTGGTTCCCCCAGCGCCCTGAAAAGTCAGGGAGTTGGGAGACAGTGGAGCTTGGCATTTGAATTTTTTAAAAAATTAATGTTTAACTTTAAAAGCCTTCAAGGCTTATTTAGTGGGAGGAGAGAAGTGAGAAAATGAATCCTGTACGTTTCCTCTTAGTGAGCTAATGATTCTCTCAAAGTTAACGAGGAGATCAGCACATTTTAAGTGGTTTGTAATAGAATATTTTTCTTGCCTTGGTGACAGCGCCCTTGTTTTAAATTATTTACTTAATGTCAGCCATGGAGACTACAGCTCTGCAATTTGGAATCAACTACAGGAAGTATCAACAGGATTGGCCTCTTAAAATTCTCTGTTGTTTTGTTGCATTGATCTGTTTTCCTTGTTTATTGATGAATTATCCTCTTATTTATAAGCCCAAGGAATCAAATAACCCATAAGCAAACAAATCTTTACAGAAGGATTTAGTTTGAGGGCAAATTCAGGAAGATGAGAAAAAAAAAGAGAAGTTCCTTACCTACACTCCTCATGTGAATTAATCTGACTGTATGCTGGTTCACAGGATTGTCCTGCAGCTTCCTTTTTCAAACTGGGGGGAGGGGAGGAATGAACCAACTACTTGGGTTAATTCGTCTCTCAATATTATAAAATGTTCAATGTTTGAAAATTAATCTTCAGATACACAGATTTTCATTTTCTTTATTTTAGGGAAGGTCTATAGGGTGTTCAGGACTCCTAGTGATCCACCTGTTTACAGCCTCCCAAGAGCAGGGATTACAGGGGTGTGTCACAGTGCCCAGTCTCAATTGCCTCTCAGTCACCCAGGGGGTGGGGCGGGGCCAAGCGGCAGGCCCTGGGATCAAACTACCGGCCCCTGTGCCTGCTTGCAGGCACTTTAATCCGCTGAGCTATAGATTTTCATTTTCTGAGACACAAGTTTTAGCTAAAAGTTCAAGTAGCTATGGAAATTAAAACGCAAATAGTTGGCTTATTTTTTAGGCTTAATTTGATTTGCCTTTCTAAGCAATATGCCAATCGTAAAATAACTTTTTAAAAATATTTATTTACTTATTTATTTGGTGCTGGGTCTCGCTAGGCAGCTCGGACTCACAGTGAGCCTCTTGTCTCAGCCTCCCCAGGGCTGGGATTACAGGCATGTACCACCATGCCCCATTCTGGGGTTCCAGGTCAGCACAGCATGTGGTAACAATGATCAAACTCAGATCCTTATGCTTGCCAGGCAGGAGCTTAGACTGCTGAGCCATCTCCCCAGCCCAACAGAACTTTTTCTTTAACTGATGGCCTGTGAAATTAAAAGCCCCCTGACAGAAAAGTCAGCTCAGTTTTAATATTTTGCTGTAAAGTGGCATAAGAGTTGCCAAGTCAGCCATTTAGTGCAGAACTTATGATTTGTTCTTTTCATGGTACTGATTAAATTTTTTTCCATTTTGAATCACTAAACTTCGAAGAGACTGATTTGGCATGAGATCAACTAGTGCAATGTGCTACACAAAGGTTTTCTTTTGAAATATCTTTCTGCATTGAATTTTTGAGAAAAAAAATTCCTTGCCAAAATTATATCATTCTTTTTCATCATTTTTAATTAAAACATTTCTCAGTAGCTTTTCAAACCAGTAAGTTTATATTTAAGTTGAGTTAGAGTAAAAGAAGCTAATAGGAGCCTCAAACATATATTTGGAGGTTACATTGTGTAGCCATTGATGCAGAAGGGAGACATTACTTCAGTTGGTAATTTGACCAAGTTACAAGCAAACACAATTTCTTTGTAAGTAACCACTGTAAACATCATTGTTTTAATGCAGGACTGATGTTAAGATTTAGTGGGAAAGATCATTGCTGGCATGAATCTCCAAGTCTTAAAAAACAACCCATGGAACAAAAGTTGTTTTTACATTGATGTGGGGAAACGTTACATATTACAAAGGAATACTATGTAATTAAAGTTGAATCATGGTGTGTTTATTGTTTCAGTTCTGAGGTTCTTGCATCTATAGAAAATATCATTCAGGACATCGTCACAAGCTTGGCAAGGAAAGAGGCACCTGCCTTCATCATAGACAACAGATCAAGCTGGGAAAATACCAAGTGGGCATTTTGCATTTTCATGTTTAAATGCAGTATTTATGTCCTTACTCCCATTTACTTGAATTAGATTTCACTGTGTGCATTGCCTTTAGTGCTCACCAAAAACTTAGAAAGTTTATAGAATTTACATAAGGAAGATTGCGTAGACCAGAAGTAGGTTTGAAAGGTGCAGCACAGAAAAAATAGGGGTCATAACAAAATTGAGCACTGAGACATTAGAACTCAAAATGTGTACGCTCTTGCTGAAAGTAGATACCAAGCATGGCCCGAAGCCTCCAACACTGGGGGTGGGTACCCTGGGCACAGTTCTCATCTAACGTGGCCCTGAGCCTCTAACACGGGGGGTGGTGGGTGCCTTGGGCACAATTCTCATCTACAATGAAGAAAACAAAAACAAAAACCTACAGCTGGGAACAACCAGTCCTGGGTAAAAAGCCAGGCTGAAGTAAAAGGACCCTGAACACAGGGCTGACTGAGGAGGCTCCTGATGATCTGTGCTTGCGTAGTTCAACAGTTGAGTCCAAATTCATCCAAACCTAGTGGTACAATTGTTTTCTTCTCCAACCCCAGCCTGTAAAACCTCCTCCACTGAATATTGCAAATTAGTACAAGAATAGTTCTTAGGCTGTGTAAGAATTACAGAGACAGAATAAAAGGAACTGGAGACTCCTTAGTCACTGAGGGCTTTTCTATGATCAATATAATCAACACAAACTGCATTTTTGAATTGTATTTTGCAAGATGGATTTTTGTCTAACTTGAAGCTGCTGCTAGCTAGCATCTTTGCCTTATGTCTTCTGCTACCTATAGGAGACGGTTGGTGGTTCACTTTATTTATTTATTTATTTAATTTTTTTTTTTTTCTTGCTGAACCAGGGATTGAACTCAGGCCCTTGCATTTGCCAGGGAAGCGCTTATTCCACTGAGCCATCTTCCCCGACCCCTGGTAGTTCAATTTAAAATGCTAATATAAATTGTTACTTTATATAATGTTTCTTTGTGGATAAATTAGAAATGAAATATTTCAGAGCTTACTGAATTGAGTCAAATATTAAATTATTTTTTTCTTTTGGCGGAACCAGGGATTGAACTCAGGCCCTTGCGCTTGCCAGGCAAGTGCTTGCTCTACTGAGCTATTTCCCCTAGCCCCAAAATATTAATTACTAAAATGAGTAAAATACCAATAAAATCGTGAAATGTGAAAATGTTGCTCATTCCCTCAGTGTCTTCCCAGGAGTTATACATACACACTACATAAGCAAAGGTGAATATTTTAGTTGCTGTGTGTCAATAAGCAATTAATCACAACCTAAAACAACCAACCTAAGCTTGCAAAGGAGGTATTCCTGAAGGTTAAGTGTTTGTATAAAGGTGCAGTGTGGGAGCGGACCAGTGGGCAGAAGACAACATTAAGTGTCGTTTGGTATTCAGAAGTTAAGTCTTTTTACTTTATTTCTTTGCTTTGAACAAAACAACAGGTTTGAAGACAGTGTGGGTCTTCAAATGGTATCCCATTGTACCACAAGAAAAATCAGAAGTGATTCTCCAAAATCAGTTAAAAAATTTGGTAAATTAATCTTTCTTAGCTTTGAGTAGTAAAGAGAAATAAATTTGGTTATTTTTAAATGTTGCTAATTTGTTGTTGATGTATTCATTAATAGGTCACTTATAAATTTTATAAATAAATGTACTTATCAAGGTATATGGCTTAATAGAACATTATTTTCTCCATTTTGCTGTCAAAAGAACAATTTTATCTGATTCTTTGTGTAGTTATTCTGTATTAAGCCCTTCTGTTTTGGAAAGATTGTTTTAAATGTGGACAGTAATTGGGGATCATTAAAATCTTGATAACAATGTCTTTTGAGTTAATGTGATAAATGGCAACTAAGTCATTCATTGCATCTTATTTTTCAGCTCTAATTCTTAAAATATTATCTATGATTTATAAATTAGTACAGAGCAACACTTATGCAACCAAAAGGTAAATATATTATTCTGGTAAACTACTTACTCTTCAAATATAATGTGAGATTTTATTAGATTAATTTCATTATATGCTTTGAAAAGTCACCCGACTGTAGGTAATAAATTACTTTCCATATATGTTGTGTTTTGTTGATTTTATTTTGTTTATTTATTTATTTTTATGTATTTGGTACAGGGTATTACTATGCGGCTGGGACTTGTAGTGACCCTTGTGTTTTCAGCCTCCCCAGCACTTACTGGGATTACTGATGTGAGCCACCATGTGGACTCTGTGGTGGGCTCAGTGCTCCCAGGGGCAGGGCCTGCTGGGGCCTGTGGTGCTGGGGATCGAATGTTGTGCTGTTTAGTTAAAGCTTTCTCCAGGTAGTGTTTCTAATACTGATCATGTCCACAGAAGATACAGCTAATTAAGGTATATGTTTTACATTTTTGTAGAGACATATATTACACTGACAGCCAACTCTTTGGTAATCAGACTATTGTGGACAATATTATTGATGATATTTCTTGTATGCTGAAAGTACCAAGGAGGAGTCTACATATTGTAAGTTTTATTTAATATAAACATTTTCTTTTAAAGCAAAATGTTTCTAAGAAATTATAATAATAGTAAATGTAATCTTCACCTGTTTGATACTAGTTGATCATATAAATTTAAATTGTGTTTTCAGTGTATTCCTTTGAATGAATGAACCAAATCAGGCGAATTATGAAATACTTATAATTCCTAAACACCCATACATATATTTTTCTTCATCTCCAAATTCCTGAGAAAAACTACAAACAATTTAGCTGGTGAACAAGAAGAATGACTTAGCCTCATGATATACATTTGTGGAAAAGGTTTCAAAGATGTCTTTCTTTTTTTTTTTTTTTTTCCAGTTGTCAACCTCCAAAGGATTAATTGCTGGCAATTTAAGATATGTTGAGGAAGATGGCACCAGAGTGAGCTGTGCCTGCGGCGCTTCCGTAAGCATCCTTTCTGCCTCACAGGCTTTAACTCCCCTCTAGTTCCTTTAATTTTGAAACATATTTTATGTCTTACTTTGTTAGATAGTTTAGAGCTTAAGATTTTTAAGTACAGCTGAAGGATGAGTAGGTCCTTGCTTTTTACTTTTTCATGTATTTGGTCCAGGGTCTCACTGCACAGCTCGGACCCATAGTGCTCCTCCTGTTTTCAGCCTCCCCCGTGCTGGGATTCTGGGCCTGCACCGGCCCAGTAGGTCTGCACTTTGTAGGGTGGTAGCTCACATAGTCCGGAACATGCCCCGTGGTCATATTGAAACAGATACTTTCCATTTAGAATGTGCTGTTCTATTTAAAAACATACAGGTAGACTGTGCTTCAGTATTTTAGCCTGATTAACGTAATCTCCACAAAACTTGCTGGCTCTTAAATGAATATATTGTGTAATATGCTCTCTACTGGGCTTTACTATGTTGAGCACCTCAGCACCAAGCTAGCATGGTGCTTTGGATGGAGCCACATAGAAGTTAGGAAAGGAGACAGGTGGTTCCCCAAGATCCCTGCATCCTGATGTTTCCCTTCATCCTTTTCTTTTGTCTCTTTCCTTTTCTTTGTGCTGAGGACTGAACCCCAAGCCTTTGCACTAATATACATCCCCAGTCCTTTTTAATTTTTTGTTTTGAGACAGGGCCTCACTAAGCTGTCAAAGTGCCCAGCTGGGGGTTGAAATTGCTGTCCTGCCTCAGCCTCCCATAGTGCTGAGATTACAGATGTGAAACACACCCCACATGGATCATTTTCGCTTTTTAAGCCTCTTATCTACAAAGCACCTAAGAAACTCTCCCTGCTGGGAAGTAGTGTAGTTGTGTGTCTGCTTCCTTACTGAGGGATTACATTCTTTCTTACTGTTTTCTTGCTGAACATTAAGTCTTTGATGATGGGAATAGTCAAAGAAGAATGAAGTCATGATTTTTGTGATACATTATAAAATGTAGCTTTACTTGGTTTTTATTGAAAAACTTAAAATGTCCCTTTTCTTTAAATTTAGGCTATTGCTGTACCATCTAATGTTCAAGGAATTCGGAGTATCCTTCCAGTGCAAAGTCTTTAAACTTCTGGAATGTTCACTCATTTCATTGATAAGTTAAGCATTCATGGTGTCTGATGGTCAAGTCAGACCATGTCACCATCAAGATGAACAATCTGGTCCCTTCTTTAGAACGTTTTTAGAAGTTGACTGTGAATTAGAGTGGGCGTGGTGGCACGCAGCTGTAATGCCAGCTGTTGGGAGGCTGCACACAGGAGGATCATTATGAGTCCAATCTGCATAGTGAGACTCTGTAGCCCCTGTACTAAAATACAAAAAAAAAAGAGTTGACTGTGAAGTAGGAGACAGATGTGTAAATGCAGGTTTATATATGTGAGGGTGAAAATGAGAATGTTCTTTCTGTGGCTGCTTTCCAATTCCTTGATAAGGCACCACAATGTAGCTGGTGGTTAGTTGCGATATTCTTCCTTTGGTTTACCTACCTTAACATCACAGACTTAATCACAGATGCAAAATTTCTGTTAATTGTAGAAAAAGATGCAACTTTTCAGCGGCTCCTGGATGACAACTTCTGCAACCACATGTCGCCATGCATCATGGTGACGGTAGTGTTTCCACCTTTGCCTCGCTCTCAGGACTAACGCATGCTCCGTGGTATGGGTGGGAGGGGTCTGGAGTCATCGCCGCACCTCGGGCAGTGCTCAGTTGCCACGTAGTGTGATGGGAATATTCAAAGGGTTAAAATCTCTCCCTCCTGCCCAAAACGAGGTGATGGTCCTGATTTTAAGGACCAGGCAGTGACAACACCGGAGCAGCTCATGCGCCCGTGGTGCTGCCCTCACACTTCCCACGGGAGCTCATCACCTCGACTGTTTTGGATTCACACGTGGGCTTTGTCCAGGGTTCAGTTATGCCTTGTTCCTCCTCACATGGGTGGTTATGTAAGGTAATGTCACTAACTCAGTCAAAAGGAGCTTGTTTTACCCCATGTTTTGTTATTTTAACACAGTGTCTCTATGTAACTCAAGCTGGTCTCGAATTTTCTGCATATCCCTGGCTGTCCTCCTGCCTCGGCCTCCTAGCACTGAGATTGCAGGCATGTGCCACACACCTGGATAGGAGCTTGCTTTTTAAAAGCATAAATGTGCACAGAATAGTGACAGTCACATACATCATGATTCCTATCACTGCAAGAATTTTTGCAGTGTCTAGCCTTGATGGCACACCCTAGACCAAGTGGCATAAGCAACACACATTTACTGCTCCTGGCTCTAGAGGTGAAGTCAGGGTCAAGGACCTGCAGGTCCAGTGACCAGTGTGAGCCTGCTGTTTGGTTCACTGGATGGTCATCTTCTCCTTGAGTCCCCACATGGTAGGTAGGCCCTGCCTGCATCCTTTCCCTAGGAGCATAATCCCATTCAGCAAGGCTGGACTGACGCCGTGACGTGAGCACTGCCCGAAGGTGCCACTCCTAGCACCATCACACTGAAGTTAAGGTTCAGTGTAAATCTGGGAGGGACAGAAGCAGCCCACGGCAGGCAGGAAATTTACTGCTATGGGGAATGGGGCCTTCACAGACCTGGAGCCACCAGTAAAACCCACCAGAGTGGAAAAGAAAGAGGTGGGGAAAGGAAACGAGGGGCACGTAGGTAGGATGGTGACAGCACAGGAGCATGGACCAGGCTTCCCCCTTTGCCAGCTCTTTCCCAGCATTTCTGCTTTTGTAGATCTGGATAAAAACCTAGCTCTTTGAAGAAGAAAATACAGGGCTCTTCCACTTAAAATTCCTCTGGCTTATTGGATTAACAGTAAGTATGGTGTGTGTGAGGTATGTTTATGGAAGCATGAGGAGTGACCCAGAGAGGGCAGGAGCCCAGGCTGCTGGGGGGGCTTAGAAGGTCTGGCTGCTCGCATGGAGGGAGCATGGTTTGGTGCAGAATATTGGGGCTCCCAGAAATGTCTGGAGCGGAAGGAAATGACAAGAATTAGCACAGCAGCACATCTATTAGGTGGAGATAAGGGAGTTACCTGCTGGGCCTTTGGGAAGTTCCCTCAGTGTGAGGATAGAAGGGGATCGTGAAAGGGACATGTGAAAGCACTTGGCGACACTGAGGTAAGGAGCGAGTCCCACAGCCCTTCGGTATGAACACCACACACACACAGCTCTTCACAGGATTTTGAGTGGGGGTTTAGAGAGATGGACTTGATGTAGCAGCAGATAGTCGAAGCAGCCTCTGCCCAGTTTGAAGTTAAGGGGCCGAACGTCAAGAAGGACACAAGATGTGCTCACGTGTGGCAGGTGCCCCATGTGAGTCCTGAGGTGGATGTGTCTCTGTGGGGGGTCTGCAGTGCACCCTCCAGCCTAGTCCCCCCTGCTTTAGCAGCTGGGTCCCGAGAGGCTGACTGGAGGCCAGGCCACCACAGACAGAAGGCTGCCCTGGAGATGCACTGTGGCTTGGCTCGGTGTCCTGTTTGCCTTGAAGAGAGATCTGGGTGGTTGGAAACACAGGGAGAAAGTCAGAAAGTCACACACTTTCTTTTGCTCTGGGCATTTGGGGTGCAGTCTTCTAGTCCTTGCCCAGATGTACATGCCGCCCCCCTCAGCTCCACAGTACCCCACAATGACTGCTGTGAAATACCCACAAGCTGCCTCGCGTAGTGGCTGTCTCTGCAGAGGGAGCTGTGGCTAGAGACCTGGGCCAGGAAGAAGCCATTTTCACCCAAGAGCCTTTCACACTGTTTGACGTCTCTAGCATGGTCATGCGTTGTCTCTTCCCAAAGGAAAACATTAAAATACTACAGTTTGCTAAGTGCTCACGATACGCCAGGAGCTCTGCTAAGCACTATATGTAATAAAAGTTCACATGATTTTTTGGTTTGGTTTGGCTTGGTTTTTTGAGACAGGGTCTCATTATGTAGTTCAGGCTAGCTTTGAACTCACTCAGCCCAGGCTGACCCCAAACTCAGGCAAGCCGCCTGCCTATCTTTTGAATCTGGGAGGAGGGGCATTGATATTCTCATCACTTCTACTTTGATCATAGGAACTGCAATGTGTCCTGTATTTTTTGTTGTTGTTTTATTTCTTGGCTGTACTTGGGTTGGACTCAGGTCCTCATGTAGGCTGGGCAAGCCCTGTAGCTCCGAGCTCCAGTCCCAGTCCCAGGAAAGCACATTGCCACAGTTCTGCAGCTACTCAGAACTGGGGCTGGGGCCAGGTAACTCTGTGTTGTTACTGTGCCAGATATCTCACTTTATAGGTAGAGTTAAGGCCTAGACAGACCAAGAAACCTGCCCACTGTCACAGGTACATTTATGATAATGGTGAGCAGAGAGGGAATTCAAACTCAGAGTTCTCTGGTCCAAAGCCTGTCTTGGTGTTTTCCCCTGGCACTGTCCACTGTACTGAGGGTTGAACCCAGGGCCTTGTGCATGACAGACAAGATTTCTACCTGCTGAGCTATCTCCCTGGCCCCAGAAGCTTGTTCTTAATAGCAGTATGGACCTGCTTCCTTCTGCTCCATGTTGCATTTGGTTTCCTTTATTTTTCTTGACACTATTTTACATGCTCTTTAGATTGTTCTTCTACCTGTTTTGATAACTTCATATTATCCCACCCTGTTAAACTCTGAACTTAACCTATATAACTCTCCTAAGGGCTTCATGATTATTAAATAATGTAAGTCCTCTCACAGCTTTATAAGCTATCACAGAGCCCCCAAATCATAGGAGGTTTCATTACTCCTGCAAATTCATGCCATCAAGAAATGTGGAGCCCAGGGCAACACCCCAGCTGCAGCCCCTGCCGCACACACTTAGTATCCAGCCTCCTGGATGCTCCCCACAGCCACCCCAGGTGTTCGGAATGGCCAGCAGGGGACCTGCAGACAGCCTCAGCCAAGAGGTACAAGAGAAGAGAAACAGGATAACACTGACCTGGAGCAGATCCTGATTCAGTGGCTCACTACCCAGTGCCGCAAGGACGTGGGCTGGCCCCAGTCCAGGCAGGAGAACTTCCAGAACTGACTTAAGGATGGCACGGTGCTGGGTGAGCTCATCGATGGACTGCGCCCCGAGGGCCAGGCTCCCATAAGAAGATCCAGGCCTCCTCCCTGGCTTTGAAGCAGATGGAGCATATCTCTCAGTTCCTGCGGGCAGCTGAGCGCTGTGGCGTCAACACCACTGACATCTTCCAAACAGTGGATCTCTGGGAAGGAAAGAGAGTGGCCTGTGTATAGCGGACATTGATGAACCTGGGTGAGCTGGCGGTGGCCCAAGATGATGGGCAGTTTTCTGGGGACCCCAACTGGTTTCCTAAGAAATCCAAGGAGAACCCTCGGAACTTCTCAGACAACCAGCTGCCAGATGGCAAGAAAGTGATTGGGATGCAGATGGGGACCAACCGTGGGGCATCTCAAGGCAGGCATGACTGGCTGATCCTGTCCTGCCCCTGCCTACCCTCCCATGAGTGATTAATATATATGTATATATGTTTTAGCAATGACATTCCCAGGGAGCCCTGCAAAGCTCTCAAGCTCCCTTCTGGGGCAGGCATCCAGCCTCTCCCGCCACTTCTGGGAGTGTCTCATGGCACCTCTCCCCTTGTGCTTACTAATACATTCCTTCTCCACACCCATCAAAACTGGACCAACTTTTCCCCTGGAACCAACATTTGTGGGGGTCTTAGCCTTCCACTCCCCGCTATTCCTGTCCCCTTTCTTTTGGCCTCTCCTGACTCTGAGCTCTATGCTCTGAGCCCATCCTTGGCTCAGAGTCAGGGATGCTGCCTTCAGGCCTGGTGCTGGGCTGGCCTTGCCTCCCCACAGCCCTGACTGTAGGGACTTAATTTATAGGGGCCTATGGTGACTGCCGCTGGGCTGTGCTCCCCATGCATCTGGGGCAGCCTTCCCTGGCAGAGGCCCTCTTGGTTTCTCATTTTCCATTCCCCTTGCTGTGGCTAAGGGACAGGGCTGAGGGGACAAAAGAGAAAGGGCTTCCCACCATAGCCTGGGGCTTGAGGACGAAGTGTTTGCTGATTTAAATAAAGAATCATAGTCTTTTTTGAAAGAAGAAGGAAGAGGAGGAAGAGAGGAGGAGGAGGAGAAAGAAAAAGAGCCCAGATGGTAGCCCAGGCCATTTGGGCCCACAGCTGACTTCCTGTCACCAATGAGCTATGCCACCTATCCATGTCCCTGTGGTTAGATATTTTGGCTTGTTGTTTTTATCACTTTCAATAACATGGTGGTGATCATCTTTAGTATGTAGGGTTATTCTTTTGTCTGCTCAAATGTTGCCTTGGGGTCCTTTCATAGGACTGGTCTAAGGGGGGCAAAGGTACAGGTGTACCCTAGTCTGTCCTATTGTGTTGCATTTGTTCACAGTCAGTGCCGGTCTTCCCCATCCAAGCGGGGGAAATCTCAATTTATTAGTGAAATAAGAGTAGTGCTATCCAGTTTACCCCACTGTAATTAAAATGACTAATTTCTGCCTTGCCTTTAGGGAAAAGGCACACCTGACCTGAACACGAGACTTTTAGTCAAGAAACTGTGGGACCTGTTCCACATTCCTGTTTTCACACTGGTAGATGCTGACCCGCACGGTAACTTACCCTGGCACTACGTAGGATAGTCATGGATAAATCCTGCTTTTGGTTGTGCATTCCACTCTTTTTTTTTGGATCTGGGGATTGAATTCAGGCCCTTGCACTTGCCAGGCAAGCCCTTATTCTACTGAGCTATCCTGGCCCCATGCTTTCCACTCTTAAAACAACTTCAGAAAATATTTTAAAAGAACATGATTAGGTTAAAATTGAAGACTATAGTTATTCAAGGTAATGTATGGTTATTTCTTCTATATTAAAACTGAGAATTGTAATTTTTTCATTAGTAATCCAAAAATAAAAATTTCAGAAGACGGACCAAACTTGAGAGTGGAACCTGTAATATACAAGACCAATTTTACAGTTAACTTTCTTTTAATAGGCATAGAAATAATGTGCATCTATAAGTATGGATCTCTGGTGAGTACACAAAAATAATTTTCCTTTCCTTACTACTTAGACATTGCATATTCATTGGGATGCTTCTACTAAGCTAAGTCCCCCCCATGTGCTAGGGTGGTGGTGGCGAACCTATGGCATGCGTACTGTAGCAGGCTTTGTACCACTGGAAGCTCGGTGATTGTGTTTTCTTTTAAGACAAAAGACTGTTCTAAACTAAAATCGGATTGTTCTAAACTAATCCTTCTTAAAACACTTATCCCATTACCCTTGCTGCTTTCTGAAGCAGTTCTAGAAGTTCTCTTTCATGAGTATCTTTCTTTATTTGCATTTCATGGCTGCCTTGATATGCTTTTTTTTTTTTTTTTTTTTTTTTTCTCAGTACTGGGGATTGAACTGAGGACTTTGCCAGGAAGGTGCTTATTCCTCTGAGCTATCTCCCCAGCCCTATTTGATATTCTGAATCAATTCAAAATGCTTACCTTTCATGGTCATTTTGATTTTGGGAAAAATCCAGATCCAGAGAATAAGGTGGATGAGAAAATACTGTAATATTTTTCTTTTTAAAATTATTTATTTGTTTGGTACAGAGTCTTGCTATACAGCTCAGACTCATAGTGATCCTCCTGTCTCAGGCTTCCAAGTGCTGGAGTTACAGATGTGTACCACCTCGCCCTGTTTCGGTGGCTGACACAGCCACCCAAAACCTGGAGCCAATGCAGCATGCAGTATTACGGATCAAACTCAGGTCCCTGTGCTTTCCAGGCAGGCACTTAGACCACTGAGCTGTCTCCCCAGCCCCTGTAATATTTTTCCAAGCCTGTCTTTCCATTGGCTGGGACCCACATTTGCTGTAGTTTTCATCATGCCTGCCTTTCTTGGCTGGAATGCAGCAGCAGCATTCGCCTTGTGAAGACTGTCCTGAAAGAGGACTTCCAGAACTGCTTTTGGCAGTGGCAAGAAGTATGGGCTAAGTGTGCTCGCGGTGAGGAGAAGCATTTTGAGGGAGATTAATGGCAATGTATCTTTTTTCCCCCAAAACTTTATTGATAAACAGCAATGAGACAGTTTCAAATCAAATCGGAAGTACAGTTTCAACAAATAACACACTGTGTATATTCTTCTTAGTGGTTAATTGCTGTACAAGATGCGGACTTGAGATCCTATTTACAAACACCATTAGAACAAATCATTCTATTCATTAAGAGAGTGCAACTATATATCTATCCTAACCACTTTGAATACACAGATACAAAATGGGCATTCATCTGTATATCCTATTTTTTCTAAGTTCCGTTACTGAATATTATAGGTGTGTAAACTCAGCAAAATATTCTAAAAGAGTCCAGTAGCCCATAATAGCATTGGGTCTTCTGTTTAACTGGCAATGTTGGAAATTATTGACCTGAATCCCCCACAGCTCAACATAACAGCATGGCTTTACTTCTTATATTTCATCTTCATACTTTTCTACTGGATGGATAAGACCAAGGTAAAGCAGGACCTATGCAACAAGAGTTGTAGCTTTTTGGTCTGAGAAGGTCAGTGAAATGCCCTCAGGATTTATCCTGAGATCCTGTACCTCAGATTGTAGAACCTTTGTCAGTGGCAGCCATGTGGATGAGTCACGGCCAATGCTTGGCCAATGTGCTCTCTGTGAAAGCCTGAGAGAGTGTCTTCTCCCCATGAGACTCTCCTTAGGCACACTCTACGTCATCGATCACTTTCCTCTTTGGCCCCATAATCTTCTTGATCAGAAAATTTGGGACACTACCGAGGTACGTGACGTTACAGTATAAGTTCTCCTATGTCCTGAGTCTTAATTGACCTTAGAAGGCTAGGGCCAAAATGTTGGCTTTCCTTGTAGCCCTCCTTTTTCTCTAATTTTGGTCTGCAAACTTAGGTTGTTAACCATCCAGAAGACAAGCTTATTGTTATTATCAAACGATTTAGGCTATTAAGCTTAACCTCACTATCTCACTGCATTTCAAACATCTTAGGCATAATAAGGAGCAGGTATTTTTCATCAAGTATTGATATGTTGAACTTTAAGTCCCTGCATAATATGATAAAAAGCATTTAAAAATTAGATTAGATTTAAAAAAAATATGGAACACTTCACGAATTTGCGTGTCATCCTTGCGCAGGGGCCATGCTAATCTTCTCTGTATCGTTCCAATTTTAGTATATGTGCTGCCGAAGCAAGCACGCAATGTATCTTTTCATGTAATAAAATTTGAAAATGTAAACATTCATCTGCTGAGGATATAGCTGAGCGGCACAGTGCTTGCTTGGCAAGTGCAAAGCCGTGAGTTGGATTCCTGGTACCCAGAAAAAAACCCAAAACAGAAAACCCAAAATGTGCATCATATATTTTGGTCATGCCTCACACACGCAGGGATCTGAAATGACCGCATTCCAGCGGTTCTTACAGTGTATCCTGGGCCAGGGCATCAGCATCACCTGGAAACTTGTTAGAAGTGCAGATCTCAGTTCCCAAGCAGCGCCACTGAGGGGCAGTCTCCGGGTGGTTCTGATGGCTGCTCGGGCTTATAGCCTACGCAGGAGGACGCAGAGTGAGCTCGATACAGAGTCACAGGCAGTATTGACTGCAGGCTGCAAAGGTTCTCTTGAGGTTTTACTTCTAGAAAATTAATACAGAAATGCCACAGAGCAGTTCCATGCCTGTCTTTCTTAATATACAAAGAGTTCTGCTGCATGGACGGGAATGCAGAGTGTTCTCTCGAGTTTGTCCCACCTAATGTGCTTCTCTTCGTTTCAGTCTATGTCCTTTGAGGCCCACAACCTAACGGTCCCTGCTGCTCGATGGCTCGGCCTCCTCCCTTCTGATATTAAAAGGTTAGATGGTGCTGCGGGTCAGGGCATGGAGACGATGCCTTGGGGTGTGCGACAGCGAGCCGCGAAGGTCAACAAAGAGAACTCGTAATTTTTTTTTAATTTTTATTTATTTATTTATTTAGTGTGTGTGTGTGTGTGTGTGTGTGTGTGTGGCCAGCTCAGCCCACCAGGGGGCAGGGCGGGCTGGCATGTGGTGCTGGGGGATTGAACCACGGTCCCTGTGCTTTGCTTGGCTTAGCTTGTTCTAAGTAGGTGCTTTAGACCACTGAGTCATCTCACCAGCCCCAAGAACTCGTAAATTTTTAAATGTATATTGTCCACTGTGACTCAGAATCCCATAATTATGAATTAGATTTATCAGTAATTTTGCTTCTAAAATTGCTTCTGACTACTAAAATTCTTAACAAATGAATTTGATTAGTGCTATCCTAAAAGGCTAGCTACAGAAATGATTTTTATCTCTATGGCTAAAACATTTTGTAAATTTTGTATACTTAAAAATATACATTATACATGGAACCTAACTAAATAATAATCATTGACGCTATTGTTTGCCACTTGAATCAGTTTTATCATGCATTTAAAACATTAGCCTCGGGGCTGGTGAGATGGCTCAGTGGTCTAAAGCACCTACTTAGAACAAGCTTAGCAAAGCACAAGGACCGCGGTTCAATCCCCCAGCACCACATGCCAGCCAGCCCCGCCCCCTGGTGGGCTGAGCTGCCCCCCCCACATAAATAAATAAAAAAATTTAAAAAATAAAAAATAAAACATTAGCCTCATTTTTAAAAATCTCATTTTAGGATGATCTAAAGTTTGGGACTCTCATGTGTGGCAAGTTAATATATAGCTTCATAATAGAAAAAAATCATTACAAGATAAAAGTTCGTACAGTTGAGTGGTTTTGCCTTTGTACGGTGCTTTCTGTCCATAGTCATAACAGTTTCACTAAGATGTGCTCTATTCCATGCTATTTTGTAGCCTGCTTTTCTACACAACATAATGTGATCATTTCTCCACATACGCACGTTTCTGTCTGTGACAGCATGTTTCCGTCTCCTACTGTTCAGCTTCAACACTGGATGTTTGTTTAGTGAACCCCTCATCGCCAGACATTCAGGTGGTTTCCAAGTCTCTGTTCTGCTCGTGTGCTGATGGATCTTCTTGTAACTAAATCTTTTCCTGAATATCTAGTAAGCCCCCGAGGCTGGATTCCCAGAAGAATCTCCTGGATCAAAGAGGGTGCACATTTTTTGAGGCTGACTGTCCTTTGGATGGATCAGTTGATTTGCTCTCCCTGGCGCCTGCCCCTCAGCATAGGACAGTAACACTTTTCTTTTTTGTTTCTCTAGATACAATACTGTAAAATATCTTGTTTTAATTCGCCAGTTTGGGTGAACCCAATAAAGAAACCTTAATTGGCTTTCTTTAACTAGTGAGCCATCCTTGGTTAGAGGTCTTTATTTTCTAAAAACAGAATGTAAATGGTTTGGGGTTGGTCAGCTTTAAAAAGCATAGGAGGAAACATTCATTTTTTTGGTTTTGAATATTTCTATCCAGTGAATTAAATTTTGTTCGATGTGGTACATGTGTCACAGTCAGATCCCTTGGAGATGATCTGCTTGTGTGGAGGTCACTTCTAACACAGACTAGGACTAAGGACGTGGTAAAATTTAAGGTAGCGCTTGGAGCAGCTCCGGCGGCGTCTCCTAGCTCCACCTGTGCCCTTGGACCCGCTCCAGGTCTATCAGTGCACAGCCAAAGGCACACCGCGGGGTGGTCACACAGACATTTGGCAGCAGAAGTGCTCGAGGCCTCCCTTTCCATCAACTGTCACCCCTACACGGGCGTTGTCACTGGCAAGTGGCTGTAATTACAGGGACACTGAAAGAGGCTATTTGACATTGGAGCTCTCTGGGGATGTCCAGGATTTGGGACTTCAAAAAGTAGATTACGCCATAAATCCCAGGACTCTCATCTTCTGTTTTTATAGCACATACCAAGATAAAGTCAAATTTGAGTGTTTCAGATTTAAATCTTTGTGTGTGTGTGTGTGTGCGCGCGCACCGGAGTGAAAACAGTGGACTAATGTCTGTGGCTCAGAATCCACAATGGATCACAAACATTTCAGTAAAAAGTAAAAAGTTGTGAGGCTCAGCTCCTACCCAAGCCTTCTGGAGCTTGCGGCTCCAGACCTGCAGCTTTGAACTTGAAAATTCACTGGTCTAAGACAGGACAGATTTAGAGGCTTCAGTGCTAATGACTTTATCTCTTATTCCTGATATATGTGTTACAGGAGCACGTTGCATTTACTATTTTTTTCATCTGTTTTTTGCAGGTTAAATATACCTAAAGAAAGCTTGATTCCCCTTACAAAACAGGACCAAATGAAGCTTGACAGTATCTTGAAGAGGCCTTATGTTACCTGCCAACCATTTTGGAGAAAAGAGGTATCTGTTTATTTTTCTAATTTAAGTATTGTATAGTCTCATTATCTTGCACTTTAGTAACAACTATTCACGTAGCGCTTTGAAAATGCCCATGATATTTTATATCGCCAGCATTAGTGTGGTGTGGCAGTAAGTAAAGGTTGAAATCAAATCTATGAAAGCTAATAGCCGAGGTCAGCTAGAGGCAGAAGATTTATTTTTACCTTTATTGTGATCATTTATCCTTTTTCAGTGGGTTGTA